TCGTCCTCACTATATGAGCTGTCGGACAAGAGTTCCGTGAAGGAAGCTTCATCATCGTTGAAAGAGGTATCTGCATTCCAGTCCGCCTCCGAATCACTCTCTGCAGAAGCATCTTTGGTGATGGCGTTTACACAGGCTTGCACCTCTTGCCACTTGAGTTGTCTGTAGATGGTAAACATCTCCTTGACACCTTCCAGCACCCATCGTCTCTGGATCAGCTGTTCACCTCGGATTATGCAGTTGTTGGAGGAGTTGGCTGTCATCTTCCCCATCAGATGGTAGACTTGGGTATCTGAAAACAATAAAACGGGTAATTAGAAATCTCGCTAAATGTGTTCACAACAATGTCATTTTATTTTGTTCAATTCTAAAATTCAGTGTGATACCAATATTGCCATGTTTGCAGGGGACTGAAAAAGAGCACAGTTCATATTTACCTAATGTCAGGATCTCTTTCACTGCATTGTCGTGGGCAATAAGGAGACGTCTCAGCTTGATGGCAACTTGAACTGGATCCATTTTCTAGGGCCTTCGGACACAACACTAGAATGCAGTCGGATGAAATACTACAGGAATTCAGTAGCGCCAAATTTGGATAATTGGAAAGTAGATGTGTTCGTTCTCACGGATTGAGATGAAGTGAAGGACTCCAGTCCGCGCAAAACATTTATACTGACCCTTAGTATAAACATAGTAGTGGAGATTTATAGATCAAAGAGAGCATTTTCGAAGCCAGTGGCGAGATCAAAGCTATACTGCAACTTCAATAGGCTTTGATCCGAAAGGAATCTCACTGTCCACTTGAGAAACCAATCAACTTCTTGTCAAAACAAGTTTCCGTATAAAGGGAGAGGTCTGAGAAGAGTTCAACCAATCTAGTCCTGTTATCTCCAGGGATTATCAATCATTGTTAATTGATTAAATCGGGATTGATCAAACGGCGCAGTACGTTGTGATACTTAAAAATCCGATGTGGTTACTTTCGCATCCACAGAAACCAAGTCACAGAAACTTCTATCAGCTTGGAAATCGTGTGATGCTTCTCTGAACGTTTAGTTTCAATTAAAAAACCCGAGAAAACCATGTCCACAATCCTAAGAAATCCTTACTCTGGTAGGCAAAGGCAAAGTGAATAAATGTACAGTCAAATCTTGAACTTATTGTACACATCTGTTTGAGGTCGTAAATGCTATGATAATCTGACCATTTTCCCAACCCGTCTTACATGATCGAAATACAGCACGTATGTTTTGAAGCATTTCAAATACTATTTTTTATGAATACCATCATCATGGTATAATTGAAGCAGCTCATTTGGCTTAAGTATCTGGATATTAACCATCTTAGAAGCTTTTGGATGGACGTCGGCTACTTAAAAGGTTACTATATAAATAAATAAATAGGCATGTACAATAAAGTTTATGTGTGTTAAATGATCTAGAGACATCATCTTCAGTGTATAACTGTCATGTTTTTGGGAGAATTACAAAGCACGGTGTCATGATTTATATCTTTGAATACAGAATGCTGTTAAAGCACATGATGGAAATTGGAGTATGTTGCTAGATAAACATAAGCACGTTGTTAGCATTGTTTTTGAAAGATGCCCACTGTTTCATGTCAGGATATTCTGATCTGTACTTTTTAGTGCCTTTCAGGGGAATAGTATTCATCAAGTGCTGACTTGGATCAGAAATGTTATTTGGCCTGTGTTGATGTCAATGTTTCAATTTCCTTTTGTTTTCCATGCTGTCTACATTGACAATTTTTAACATGCATGACTCTCTCCTTAAGCACTTGGGCATGTACATTTCAAAAGGAAAGAGAAACAATTAAATGCTCTGATAATATGAAATACAACATGACATATATATCTCGCAGATCAATATCATATGGGGTTGTGGTTCGTCTGTCTAAATCCTTTTGCTATAGGATCGGCATGGATACGGAAAACGAATTGCAACGTTCCAAACTGTATTTAATGTTATGGTGCAACCATTACATTGGAATCTCTTCTTCTCCATCATACCTAATGTCCAAATGTGTTTCATTTCAATTGATCTTATATTCAATAGTCTGTATCTTTTTCCTATTTCAAAGAATAGATTAAGGACGATATCTGCGAATGATTGCCATACTCAGAACCAAGTAAAATGATCGAAGGCTTGGTATTGTGAGATACCATCTCAAATTAACCTTTTCTCTCTCTCACAAACTTTCTATACGAATGATGTCTTCAAGATGTCGTGAGCGTGTCAGCAAATGATCAATATTATAATATCGACTTCATTATTTATTTCCTCAGCATATTCATCAACAAACAAATGTGGTTTACAATATAATAGGATGCCCTTTGCACACTGTCAGGCAACATTTGTGTACAATAACAAAAAATGAATAACAAGGTAAATGCAGCACTAGTTGATGTGGATGGGACTTGTGATTTCCCTTAGGCGTTTCTATGAAGTGCACTGTCGTCTACAGACAAAGCTCGACTGAGAGTCGTCATATCGTAGCTGCTGTCGTTGCTGTATAGGTCTCCCTGGTCTTCGTCGTCCTCACTATATGAGCTGTCGGACAAGAGTTCCGTGAAGGAAGCTTCATCATCGTTGAAAGAGGTATCTGCATTCCAGTCCGCCTCCGAATCACTCTCTGCAGAAGCATCTTTGGTGATGGCGTTTACACAGGCTTGCACCTCTTGCCACTTGAGTTGTCTGTAGATGGTAAACATCTCCTTGACACCTTCCAGCACCCATCGTCTCTGGATCAGCTGTTCACCTCGGATTATGCAGTTGTTGGAGGAGTTGGCTGTCATCTTCCGCATCAGATGGTAGACTTGGGTATCTGAAAACAATAAAACGGGTAATTAGAAATCTCGGTAAATGTGTTCACAACAATGTCATTTTATTTTGTTCAATTCTAAAATTCAGTGTGATACCAATATTGCCATGTTTGCAGGGGACTGAAAAAGAGCACAGTTCATATTTACCTAATGTCAGGATCTCTTTCACTGCATTGTCGTGGGCAATAAGGAGACGTCTCAGCTTGATGGCAACTTGAACTGGATCCATTTTCTAGGGCCTTCGGACACAACACTAGAATGCAGTCGGATGAAATACTACAGGAATTCAGTAGCGCCAAATTTGGATAATTGGAAAGTAGATGTGTTCGTTCTCACGGATTGAGATGAAGTGAAGGACTCCAGTCCGCGCAAAACATTTATACTGACCCTTAGTATAAACATAGTAGTGGAGATTTATAGATCAAAGAGAGCATTTTCGAAGCCAGTGGCGAGATCAAAGCTACACTGCAACTTCATTAGGCTTTGATCCGAAAGGAATCTCACTGTCCACTTGAGAAACCAATCAACTTCTTGTCAAAACAAGTTTCCGTATAAAGGGAGAGGTCTGAGAAGAGTTCAACCAATCTAGTCCTGTTATCTCCAGGGATTATCAATCATTGTTAATTGATTAAATCGGGATTGATCAAACGGCGCAGTACGTTGTGATACTTAAAAATCCGATGTGGTTACTTTCGCATCCACAGAAACCAAGTCACAGAAACTTCTATCAGCTTGGAAATCGTGTGATGCTTCTCTGAACGTTTAGTTTAATTAAAAAACCCGAGAAAACCATGTCCACAATCCTAAGAAATCCTTACTCTGGTAGGCAAAGGCAAAGTGAATAAATGTACAGTCAAATCTTGAACTTATTGTACACATCTGTTTGAGGTCGTAAATGCTATGATAATCTGACCATTTTCCCAACCCGTCTTACATGATCGAAATACAGCACGTATGTTTTGAAGCATTTCAAATACTATTTTTTATGAATACCATCATCATGGTATAATTGAAGCAGCTCATTTGGCTTAAGTATCTGGATATTAACCATCTTAGAAGCTTTTGGATGGACGTCGGCTACTTAAAAGGTTACTATATAAATAAATAAATAGGCATGTACAATAAAGTTTATGTGTGTTAAATGATCTAGAGACATCATCTTCAGTGTATAACTGTCATGTTTTTGGGAGAATTACAAAGCACGGTGTCATGATTTATATCTTTGAATACAGAATGCTGTTAAAGCACATGATGGAAATTGGAGTATGTTGCTAGATAAACATAAGCACGTTGTTAGCATTGTTTTTGAAAGATGCCCACTGTTTCATGTCAGGATATTCTGATCTTTACTTTTTAGTGCCTTTCAGGGGAATAGTATTCATCAAGTGCTGACTTGGATCAGAAATGTTATTTGGCCTGTGTTGATGTCAATGTTTCAATTTCCTTTTGTTTTCCATGCTGTCTACATTGACAATTTTTAACATGCATGACTCTCTCCTTAAGCACTTGGGCATGTACATTTCAAAAGGAAAGAGAAACAATTAAATGCTCTGATAATATGAAATACAACATGACATATATATCTCGCAGATCAATATCATATGGGGTTGTGGTTCGTCTGTCTAAATCCTTTTGCTATAGGATCGGCATGGATACGGAAAACGAATTGCAACGTTCCAAACTGTATTTAATGTTATGGTGCAACCATTACATTGGAATCTCTTCTTCTCCATCATACCTAATGTCCAAATGTGTTTCATTTCAATTGATCTTATATTCAATAGTCTGTATCTTTTTCCTATTTCAAAGAATAGATTAAGGACGATATCTGCGAATGATTGCCATACTCAGAACCAAGTAAAATGATCGAAGGCTTGGTATTGTGAGATACCATCTCAAATTAACCTTTTCTCTCTCTCACAAACTTTCTATACGAATGATGTCTTCAAGATGTCGTGAGCGTGTCAGCAAATGATCAAGATTATAATATCGACTTCATTATTTATTTCCTCAGCATATTCATCAACAAACAAATGTGGTTTACAATATAATAGGATGCCCTTTGCACACTGTCAGGCAACATTTGTGTACAATAACAAAAAATGAATAACAAGGTAAATGCAGCACTAGTTGATGTGGATGGGACTTGTGATTTCCCTTAGGCGTTTCTATGAAGTGCACTGTCGTCTACAGACAAAGCTCGACTGAGAGTCGTCATATCGTAGCTGCTGTCGTTGCTGTATAGGTCTCCCTGGTCTTCGTCGTCCTCACTATATGAGCTGTCGGACAAGAGTTCCGTGAAGGAAGCTTCATCATCGTTGAAAGAGGTATCTGCATTCCAGTCCGCCTCCGAATCACTCTCTGCAGAAGCATCTTTGGTGATGGCGTTTACACAGGCTTGCACCTCTTGCCACTTGAGTTGTCTGTAGATGGTAAACATCTCCTTGACACCTTCCAGCACCCATCGTCTCTGGATCAGCTGTTCACCTCGGATTATGCAGTTGTTGGAGGAGTTGGCTGTCATCTTCCGCATCAGATGGTAGACTTGGGTATCTGAAAACAATAAAACGGGTAATTAGAAATCTCGGTAAATGTGTTCACAACAATGTCATTTTATTTTGTTCAATTCTAAAATTCAGTGTGATACCAATATTGCCATGTTTGCAGGGGACTGAAAAAGAGCACAGTTCATATTTACCTAATGTCAGGATCTCTTTCACTGCATTGTCGTGGGCAATAAGGAGACGTCTCAGCTTGATGGCAACTTGAACTGGATCCATTTTCTAGGGCCTTCGGACACAACACTAGAATGCAGTCGGATGAAATACTACAGGAATTCAGTAGCGCCAAATTTGGATAATTGGAAAGTAGATGTGTTCGTTCTCACGGATTGAGATGAAGTGAAGGACTCCAGTCCGCGCAAAACATTTATACTGACCCTTAGTATAAACATAGTAGTGGAGATTTATAGATCAAAGAGAGCATTTTCGAAGCCAGTGGCGAGATCAAAGCTACACTGCAACTTCATTAGGCTTTGATCCGAAAGGAATCTCACTGTCCACTTGAGAAACCAATCAACTTCTTGTCAAAACAAGTTTCCGTATAAAGGGAGAGGTCTGAGAAGAGTTCAACCAATCTAGTCCTGTTATCTCCAGGGATTATCAATCATTGTTAATTGATTAAATCGGGATTGATCAAACGGCGCAGTACGTTGTGATACTTAAAAATCCGATGTGGTTACTTCCGCATCCACAGAAACCAAGTCACAGAAACTTCTATCAGCTTGGAAATCGTGTGATGCTTCTCTGAACGTTTAGTTTAATTAAAAAACCCGAGAAAACCATGTCCACAATCCTAAGAAATCCTTACTCTGGTAGGCAAAGGCAAAGTGAATAAATGTACAGTCAAATCTTGAACTTATTGTACACATCTGTTTGAGGTCGTAAATGCTATGATAATCTGACCATTTTCCCAACCCGTCTTACATGATCGAAATACAGCACGTATGTTTTGAAGCATTTCAAATACTATTTTTTATGAATACCATCATCATGGTATAATTGAAGCAGCTCATTTGGCTTAAGTATCTGGATATTAACCATCTTAGAAGCTTTTGGATGGACGTCGGCTACTTAAAAGGTTACTATATAAATAAATAAATAGGCATGTACAATAAAGTTTATGTGTGTTAAATGATCTAGAGACATCATCTTCAGTGTATAACTGTCATGTTTTTGGGAGAATTACAAAGCACGGTGTCATGATTTATATCTTTGAATACAGAATGCTGTTAAAGCACATGATGGAAATTGGAGTATGTTGCTAGATAAACATAAGCACGTTGTTAGCATTGTTTTTGAAAGATGCCCACTGTTTCATGTCAGGATATTCTGATCTTTACTTTTTAGTGCCTTTCAGGGGAATAGTATTCATCAAGTGCTGACTTGGATCAGAAATGTTATTTGGCCTGTGTTGATGTCAATGTTTCAATTTCCTTTTGTTTTCCATGCTGTCTACATTGACAATTTTTAACATGCATGACTCTCTCCTTAAGCACTTGGGCATGTACATTTCAAAAGGAAAGAGAAACAATTAAATGCTCTGATAATATGAAATACAACATGACATATATATCTCGCAGATCAATATCATATGGGGTTGTGGTTCGTCTGTCTAAATCCTTTTGCTATAGGATCGGCATGGATACGGAAAACGAATTGCAACGTTCCAAACTGTATTTAATGTTATGGTGCAACCATTACATTGGAATCTCTTCTTCTCCATCATACCTAATGTCCAAATGTGTTTCATTTCAATTGATCTTATATTCAATAGTCTGTATCTTTTTCCTATTTCAAAGAATAGATTAAGGACGATATCTGCGAATGATTGCCATACTCAGAACCAAGTAAAATGATCGAAGGCTTGGTATTGTGAGATACCATCTCAAATTAACCTTTTCTCTCTCTCACAAACTTTCTATACGAATGATGTCTTCAAGATGTCGTGAGCGTGTCAGCAAATGATCAAGATTATAATATCGACTTCATTATTTATTTCCTCAGCATATTCATCAACAAACAAATGTGGTTTACAATATAATAGGATGCCCTTTGCACACTGTCAGGCAACATTTGTGTACAATAACAAAAAATGAATAACAAGGTAAATGCAGCACTAGTTGATGTGGATGGGACTTGTGATTTCCCTTAGGCGTTTCTATGAAGTGCACTGTCGTCTACAGACAAAGCTCGACTGAGAGTCGTCATATCGTAGCTGCTGTCGTTGCTGTATAGGTCTCCCTGGTCTTCGTCGTCCTCACTATATGAGCTGTCGGACAAGAGTTCCATGAAGGAAGCTTCATCGTCATTGAAAGAGGTATCTGCATTCCAGTCCGCCTCCGAATCACTCTCTGCAGAAGCATCTTTGGTGATGGCGTTTACACAGGCTTGCACCTCTTGCCACTTGAGTTGTCTGTAGATGGTAAACATCTCCTTGACACCTTCCAGCACCCATCGTCTCTGGATCAGCTGTTCACCTCGGATTATGCAGTTGTTGGAGGAGTTGGCTGTCATCTTCCGCATCAGATGGTAGACTTGGGTATCTGAAAACAATAAAACGGGTAATTAGAAATCTCGCTAAATGTGTTCACAACAATGTCATTTTATTTTGTTCAATTCTAAAATTCAGTGTGATACCAATATTGCCATGTTTGCAGGGGACTGAAAAAGAGCACAGTTCATATTTACCTAATGTCAGGATCTCTTTCACTGCATTGTCGTGGGCAATAAGGAGACGTCTCAGCTTGATGGCAACTTGAACTGGATCCATTTTCTAGGGCCTTCGGACACAACACTAGAATGCAGTCGGATGAAATACTACAGGAATTCAGTAGCGCCAAATTTGGATAATTGGAAAGTAGATGTGTTCGTTCTCACGGATTGAGATGAAGTGAAGGACTCCAGTCCGCGCAAAACATTTATACTGACCCTTAGTATAAACATAGTAGTGGAGATTTATAGATCAAAGAGAGCATTTTCGAAGCCAGTGGCGAGATCAAAGCTACACTGCAACTTCATTAGGCTTTGATCCGAAAGGAATCTCACTGTCCACTTGAGAAACCAATCAACTTCTTGTCAAAACAAGTTTCCGTATAAAGGGAGAGGTCTGAGAAGAGTTCAACCAATCTAGTCCTGTTATCTCCAGGGATTATCAATCATTGTTAATTGATTAAATCGGGATTGATCAAACGGCGCAGCACGTTGTGATACTTAAAAATCCGATGTGGTTACTTTCGCATCCACAGAAACCAAGTCACAGAAACTTCTATCAGCTTGGAAATCGTGTGATGCTTCTCTGAACGTTTAGTTTCAATTAAAAAACCCGAGAAAACCATGTCCACAATCCTAAGAAATCCTTACTCTGGTAGGCAAAGGCAAAGTGAATAAATGTACAGTCAAATCTTGAACTTATTGTACACATCTGTTTGAGGTCGTAAATGCTATGATAATCTGACCATTTTCCCAACCCGTCTTACATGATCGAAATACAGCACGTATGTTTTGAAGCATTTCAAATACTATTTTTTATGAATACCATCATCATGGTATAATTGAAGCAGCTCAAGTATCTGGATATTAACCATCTTAGAAGCTTTTGGATGGACGTCGGCTACTTAAAAGGTTACTATATAAATAAATAAATAGGCATGTACAATAAAGTTTATGTGTGTTAAATGATCTAGAGACATCATCTTCAGTGTATAACTGTCATGTTTTTGGGAGAATTACAAAGCACGGTGTCATGATTTATATCTTTGAATACAGAATGCTGTTAAAGCACATGATGGAAATTGGAGTATGTTGCTAGATAAACATAAGCACGTTGTTAGCATTGTTTTTGAAAGATGCCCACTGTTTCATGTCAGGATATTCTGATCTTTACTTTTTAGTGCCTTTCAGGGGAATAGTATTCATCAAGTGCTGACTTGGATCAGAAATGTTATTTGGCCTGTGTTGATGTCAATGTTTCAATTTCCTTTTGTTTTCCATGCTGTCTACATTGACAATTTTTAACATGCATGACTCTCTCCTTAAGCACTTGGGCATGTACATTTCAAAAGGAAAGAGAAACAATTAAATGCTCTGATAATATGAAATACAACATGACATATATATCTCGCAGATCAATATCATATGGGGTTGTGGTTCGTCTGTCTAAATCCTTTTGCTATAGGATCGGAATGGATACGGAAAACGAATTGCAACGTTCCAAACTGTATTTAATGTTATGGTGCAACCATTACATTGGAATCTCTTCTTCTCCATCATACCTAATGTCCAAATGTGTTTCATTTCAATTGATCTTATATTCAATAGTCTGTATCTTTTTCCTATTTCAAAGAATAGATTAAGGACGATATCTGCGAATGATTGCCATACTCAGAACCAAGTAAAATGATCGAAGGCTTGGTATTGTGAGATACCATCTCAAATTAACCTTTTCTCTCTCTCACAAACTTTCTATACGAATGATGTCTTCAAGATGTCGTGAGCGTGTCAGCAAATGATCAATATTATAATATCGACTTCATTATTTATTTCCTCAGCATATTCATCAACAAACAAATGTGGTTTACAATATAATAGGATGCCCTTTGCACACTGTCAGGCAACATTTGTGTACAATAACAAAAAATGAATAACAAGGTAAATGCAGCACTAGTTGATGTGGATGGGACTTGTGATTTCCCTTAGGCGTTTCTATGAAGTGCACTGTCGTCTACAGACAAAGCTCGACTGAGAGTCGTCATATCGTAGCTGCTGTCGTTGCTGTATAGGTCTCCCTGGTCTTCGTCGTCCTCACTATATGAGCTGTCGGACAAGAGTTCCGTGAAGGAAGCTTCATCATCATTGAAAGAGGTATCTGCATTCCAGTCCGCCTCCGAATCACTCTCTGCAGAAGCATCTTTGGTGATGGCGTTTACACAGGCTTGCACCTCTTGCCACTTGAGTTGTCTGTAGATGGTAAACATCTCCTTGACACCTTCCAGCACCCATCGTCTCTGGATCAGCTGTTCACCTCGGATTATGCAGTTGTTGGAGGAGTTGGCTGTCATCTTCCCCATCAGATGGTAGACTTGGGTATCTGAAAACAATAAAACGGGTAATTAGAAATCTCGGTAAATGTGTTCACAACAATGTCATTTTATTTTGTTCAATTCTAAAATTCAGTGTGATACCACTATTGCCATGTTTGCAGGGGACTGAAAAGGAGCACAGTTCATATTTACCTAATGTCAGGATCTCTTTCACTGCATTGTCGTGGGCAATAAGGAGACGTCTCAGCTTGATGGCAACTTGAACTGGATCCATTTTCTAGGGCCTTCGGACACAACACTAGAATGCAGTCGGATGAAATACTACAGGAATTCAGTAGCGCCAAATTTGGATAATTGGAAAGTAGATGTGTTCGTTCTCACGGATTGAGATGAAGTGAAGGACTCCAGTCCGTGCAAAACATTTATACTGACCCTTAGTATAAACATAGTAGTGGAGATTTATAGATCAAAGAGAGCATTTTCGAAGCCAGTGGCGAGATCAAAGCTACACTGCAACTTCATTAGGCTTTGATCCGAAAGGAATCTCACTGTCCACTTGAGAAACCAATCAACTTCTTGTCAAAACAAGTTTCCGTATAAAGGGA